CGCCCCTTGTCTTATATAGCGGTGTCTAGCCCACAGTGCACTGCTGTCTGGCAACATGTGGCTTGCATGTGCATGAGTAGCTGGACACGGCCATATTCGCATTCAAATCCAATAGCAGGTTTTTTTTGGTTTTTTTTCTCTCTTGTCTGTTTTTTTGTGTTCGTGATTTGCCTCCGATCTGTTCTAAGTTCTCGCTCCGCTTGACATTGTGTTTCATTTTTAGTGGTCTTTTTTTCGTTCACTGAATATGAGTAGCGGTACGAGAGGGCAGTACGCAGCTGCGTTTAAACTAGAGGTCGTTGAGTTCGCAGAAGCGAATGGGAATATGGCTGTTCAGCGCCACTTTGGTGTATCAGAAAAAAGCGTCCACTATTAGAGGGTACAGAAAAGGAAGCTGCAGATGTGCAATCCTCGGAAAATGTCATTTTGTGGGCGAAGTGCGGTTCATCCGCAGCTGGAGAATACGCTAGGGAACTTTGTGTGGGAAGTTCATGCGTGCTCGCTGCCAGTGACCGTGGATACCATTCGCAAGAAAGCTGTGGAATTCGCTCAAGAAGCTGGACTCAAGAGAGAAGAATTTCGTGCACCAAACTCTTGGGTGCATCGTTTCATGAGACGCAAAAGATTTTCTTTCCGGTGGCGCACATACATCTGTCAGAAGTTTCCAGACGAGTTCAAGGACAAGCTTATAAACTTTCAGGGCTTCGGGAGCAGAACAACTACATGATGCGGCAGATTGACAATGCCGATGAGACCCCCGTGTGGTTTGACATGCCTTCATCGACCATGATCATGCAGCATGGTGCCAAGGATATTAAGCTGTTGTCCACTGGCAACGAGCACTCGCGCTTAACCGTCACGCTGGCATGCATGGCAGATGGTAGAAAGCTTCCACCTTTCATCATTTTCAAACGTAAGACAATGCCGAAGGAAGTGTTCCCGCCCAGTGTTGTCGTTCGCATTCAACAAAAAGGGATACATGGACAAGGCCATGATGCTCGAATGAATACGAGTAGTCTGGAACCATCAGCCAGGTGCACTGCTGCGTCTTTGCAGCATGCTGGTGTTAGATGCGTTTTGTGGTCACTTAATCAACGCTGTGAAGCGTGCACTGGGCGATGGAAAAACGGACCTCACTGTGATACCAGGTGGTATGACGTCCAGCCTCTGACCGATCGATGTTGTGCTAAACAAGCCGTTCAAGGACCGAGTGCAGCTGGAGTACTAAAAGTGGATGACTGGCGACAACCGAAAGACACCGACGGGCCGCCTACAGAGGCCTCCGCTAGCGACTGTTTGTGGCTGGGTTCTTTCGGCCTGGCTTTCCTTGCCAGATTCCATGGTCGAAAATGCTTAAAGAAATGTTCCATCAGTGTTCCATCAGCAACTCACTGTATGGCATGGAAGACAACGCACTATGGGAGGCGGCCAGTGACAAACTCTCGTCTTCAGAAGACAGTGGCGCTTCGTCTGACGATTAGAAACAGTTGCGATGGTGGTTGAGGGGAGCTCCGACGATCGAGGTGCGGTGCGCCCAATTCGCAAATAAATTCGGCAATTTGGGTTGTTTTCTTTTTTTTTTTCTTCTTTTTCGGTAACCTGAACTTGGGGGGTCGACCTATATTCCCACTCGCCCTATAGTCCGGTTTATACGGTAAGTTAATTTCTTTGAAGTGCAAAAAAGATCCAATAAAGTTCCTTCAGCTTTCAAATCGTATATCAATACTTCATAAACACTCCCACAAAAGAAAAAGCATGCCCTGTTTCCTGCATGCAGCTCTGAGAAAAAAACAAGGAGAAGATTAGTGCTGAGATAGTGGTAATAATTGATTTGTTGTGTCTACAATCCAAAAGTAACAATGGTGCTTATGGCAGCTGCTGTAGTCATAGGCTGTCACTAATGTTGACCATCTGGCCTGCATTAATGTGCACCTAAACCCGCAAACATGAATGTTTTTACACTTCAGCACAATAAGATATGGCCAGCAAGGCCTGAAAATAGGACTTCAGACTTTGTGCTCAGCAACAAGACACCACAGCCACTGAGCCATGACAGTGGGAGGATGGTGGCACCTGTCTGCATGCTCAACAATGCATGCATTCAAAGTGTGAATGAAATATCCCACCTTAGGTGAAACAAGGTTTGGGAAAATCTGCATATAAAGTCAAACTAACTTGAGGCAATACTCAAGTTCCACGAAAAATATTTGCTCTAAATGAGCTGCGCAAAAAGGGGGGGGGGAGAGAGCAGACTGTTGAGAAAAAAGTATAGTATCGGATGGGATATGCCAACAAACATCACTGACAAAGATGACAAAGCTGTCGATTTTTCAGACATGCCTGAAAATTCGGACGCTTTCACAGGACTACCACATGCTCCATAGAACCAATACATGACAAAGTCTACAGACACTGAAACTTTTAAAATGAACTTTTTACTCCACACTACAAAAGCCACCACTGCCTCTGCACAGCAGCAGATTTTGAAAGTCAGCTTTGCCACAATGCCATATCGCTATCCGGTATATAGTGAATGCAAAAGAGCACTGGGGGACATTGCAGTTATGGGTGGGGATTCAGCAGCTTGGTTTTATTCTTTATTTTAAAGAATTTTGCATTCCATTGCCGTTCGGCATGGACAACCAACAGCCAGAATTCATTTTTATAACCAATAATGTGGCATGCAGGAATTGTAAGCAGGTTATTTTTCCGTAGAAAGCATACAAAAGTTGACGGTGCAGTATCTTCTCATTACTATAACCAATTTATTGTTAAAACTGATGTTGTTATAAGTGGATTCGGCTGAACTACTTGCAGAGTTCAAGTTCTATTGAAAACAATTTCCCCCAATTTTTCTCCCAATTTATTTTTCCCCAATTTCCCCCCCCCCCCGCACATTACACTGAAGATAAATATATATAGACACCACATGCCAAAAACTTTTGAATTTTTATGAGCTCTAGAAAATGAAACAGACCAAGTCACATTTAGTATTGGATATACTCTAGAACTAATCGTAGAGCTTCTATTAAACTACAAAAGAAGCTGGCGACCACTGGAGCCGGCATTCTCCCAGATGCTGTCAACTGCTGTCAACTAACTTTCAAAACTTTCAGGAGTAGCCAGCAGAAAAATTTTCTTTTCACTATCTCCAATAGTAGGGGGGGGGGTCTGGACATTCAGTGCATCGAAGTCCTATGTGCAAAGCTAATTGCAGCGGCTATTTTACAGCATGCTGGGAATGAGAAGGCCCTCAAATTTAATACCACATGCATTGTCACTTTTTACACCTGCAATGATGCAGTACGATTTCTCGATAACATGTGCATGCTGCTGCTATACAGCCTACCAATTATGATTAGACAGGAGTATGGTTATAGGTTTGAGGGCTGGCTGCCTGCAAGTTTATGGTGCTGTTGCACGATGCCTCGTGTGGCACTATTCAAGGGCCCTACCCTATTGAAGTTTGCATCCCTGACAATGGAAACATTAAAGCAAACAAAGTGTGCTCTCTACCCACACATTAAAGGGCCCGTAAACCACCGATATTTTTTCAAGCATTTAAATTAAACGCACGCACTGTGTGCAGAATGACGTCGCAATGAATGATTCTACACGTGGCAGCGCTACGAGCCGCCGGCGCGCCACAAATTCCAAGAAACAATCCATCCTCCTTTCCGGGCCTTTCAGGGCCTTCACGTGATGCACCATGCCACATCTCCAACGCGCCGAGCCAAATATGCCAAGTATGCTGTGACTGGTCGAGCAAGAGCCTACGACGTCCGGTCAGTCTGCAAGCAGCTGTCCGCGCTGCTTGTTGTTCATCGTGTTGCCCGCGTGCATGTAACAAGTGCGAAGCACGGCCTGTCCCCGTACGAGTCCATCGCGTTGGCAATGCTCTGAAGGCGTGCACGCAACGTAGGTTCCATGCCGAGACGATTACGGCAGCCACGGTACAGTGTAGCCACGATTCGCAAACAAGCACGCAACTGACTGAGTCGACGGCCGAAGTCGTGGCAACCAAAAGTAAACGGTGTTTCAAGAAGTGCATCAGCGATGACGTATGCTATGCAAGATTGGAGGGGGCATGGGAGGGGTGTTGGGCGAGAGGGTGAAGTGGCGTGAGAGAGGATACCAATGGAGGGAAGCGCAGGAGAGAGCGGAAAGTGTGGTCGTCCCAATTTCGAAAAATTCTTATGACTCAATGTTTTTTGTTCACTCGTGCACAATTTCCCCACTACAACTGAATTTCGACCTCTGGGTGGTTTACAGGCCCTTTAAAGGCAATAGCATTACTCACAACTGCGCTCAAATCATAAAACTCCCTACATCTCATGCTGGATTCTGCTTCAAAAAACCATGAATGATGAAGTGACACGTCTATTATGTTCAAATTCTGAGTCAGGGTGCATTATAATGACGACACGATACATCAAAACTTCAAGAAGTCACCACTCTTTCGTCCAAGCATTTCAGCCATGGCCGTGTCTGGCAGATTCAAACACTCACTGTGGTAGCTCTAGCAGTTAAGGTGTTATGTCGCTAAGCTCAAGGAGGTGTATTTTATTCCTGGCCATAGCAGTTGCACTTCAATGGGAGTGAAGTGCAAGACCACTGGTGCACTTATACTTAGATCAAGGTGCATGTGAAAGAACCCAAGGTGGTCAAAACCAATGAAGAGCCCTTTCAGCTATGTGCCTCACAATCGTACAGTGGTTTAGGCCTTGTGACACAATAAAAATATTAATCCAGATGATGCCCTCACAACATTGTTTTTCCTATAAGTACTACTTCGGTAGATTTGCTATAATGTACAAAAAATTGATTTGTATTTCCCTTGCACTAATGACACTTTTCAAATGTTATTTCTACCAACAAAGCAACGAAAACTGTGCCACTTAGAAAAAGAGAGAGAGAAAAAGCCTAGCACAGCACAGACCATTTTTTTATTACAAACAATTCTATAGCACATGCCAAGACTAAAAAAAACTGGTGCTTACTCTAATTGCCTCAAGACCGAAAATTTCAAACACAGCGGGTTCCAGCTGTGTGAAAACTCATGCCTCTCCAGAGGCACCGAAGTCTCCTCACGAAGCCAGTCCTGAAGTTCCTTAAAGAAAAAAAAAAGCCATTGCTAAGCTGAATGACGGCATATGGAACAATTACTGTGGCAAGTTCGACATCAGAATGGACATTTTTAATAGCTCAGTGCATGCAAGGAAGAAAGAATGAGGCTCTGTCTATATATTATTCCTGCAGAAGTAAGAGACAGTATGTGCAGCAAACAATGGCACTCATGCATGTATGCCACAGAGGGTTGCATTTCTGAGCAATCCTACACACTATCTGCAGTCAAATCAAAATTGCTGTTGCTAGTAGCACTTTATGCATGTCTTTATGCTTTCTTTACTCCTTGTGTCACGTACATCCTGCAACCTGTTGCTTATAATGATCTACCAACAGGCCCACTTAGAGAATCGCATTGAATCTCCGAGGCACACCTTCCCTTAAAATAAAAATAAATACCTGCAGTCTTCCACATGGGTGACGATGGTGGACTGTCTGGCAACATTTAAACACGAACTCATCCTCGGAAATCTAAAACAGAAATACGAAGACATGGGCACCAAGTAAATCATTTAGTTAAACTTTCTTAAAGAAGGTGGTCACTTAATGCAGAATTAGTACACATTACAAAAGTGATAACTGTTACAGGAGCCTTCCAGCTGCACTTGTTAGTCTTGCAGTATGTAGAACCCTTAGTGTCCTTTCAGAAGGAATAATGAATTTAGTGAAGCGGCAGCAGTCTGATTGCTTACTCCCCCCCCCCCCCCCCTTTTTTTGTCCATAACAGCTTTAGCAGAGTTCTATGCACAGTTGTGCCGCTACCCAGCCGGCCCCAACCACTTATGCCAGTCGTCGTTCTACACTTCTCATTGACAGCAAAACAATATTCCTGAGCAGGATTGATGAAAAAGATAATAAAGCTCAACGCATCTGCGGTGCAACCTGTCCGACACCATGCTGATCTCAGGGGCGAAACAGGGTACAAGCATTTAGGAGCAGTCCTGTGAACAGGAAAAATTGGTGTTTGTAGCAGGCTTGGAGCATAGAAAAAGGCGTTTTGGAGCAGGCTTGGCGTGGCCAGAAAGACCTTTTTGGGCAAGTTTGGAGCAGTCGGAGAGAACGTTCGGATCGGATTTCGGCCAGTTTCACAGCACTTCTGAAGCAAGCCTCATTTATCCTTCAATGTCCAACGCCTCTTTGTCCCACATAAAGTCAAAATTGATTGCATACCCCCTGCGCATCACGAGTTTTACCCGTGAGTAAAAGCGTGCGAGAGGGGGCAACAAATGCTCCTGATGCAGAGATCAAATGAGCCAACCCATCTCCATAACTTCAGGGCGCATGCGATGACATCACCCCTGTTGGGAAGCCTCCCACCGAAGCAGAAGGAACGCCACTCGCTTGAACAAGCATGAAAACAGACGAGAGGGTGCGGGGGTCCAACTAAGGCAGAAACTGTGAACTTCCCTTCTAAGGGCGTAGTTTCAATCGCTGGTACGCGTGATATCTTGCAGTCATCAGCAGGCAGCTCTCATAAATTTCAATGAGCTCTGCTCTCCTCACAAAGAGACTGTGCGAAAAATTCTCTCCCTGGCGTGGCCATATTTTCTTACACCAGCGTCTTGTAGAGCTACAAGCGGGTTGTTGTCATCTTTTTCTTTCTTAACCCTTCAGCCAGCTCGCGGACTTTCGCAGAACTTATTTGCAATACTTGCATACATGAGATGAAGATTATGGTGCTTTCAAACAACGGACCGAATCCACATTTGTCGTGGATGCCGACGGCTAATCCACGGATGATCCGCCTGCAGGTGCATCCACACAACAGACGGTGTCCTAGGAGAAAACAGCCAGATTACCCTCGACAACAGATTCGGCACTCACCTGTGCCCACTGGCAGCAGACCGGTTAAGGAGTATTCAACAACATGGATGCTGACATGAAGCGACACTTGGCTGCCATGGTTGTTGCATTGTGCGAAATGGACGAGGAGTGTTATTCTTTCAGGAACAAAAGGAGTTGCTGGCATAATATTCTTACAACTACATTGTTCCCCCACATGAGGCACTTCTGAACACATCTCCAGTCCTTTTTTTACAAGCGGAATGTCACCGGTTGCAGAAGTTAAAACATTTCCCCACCATGGCGGCTAAGAATCTCGCGTGTTAAACGACGGCGGTGACATTTCCCGCACCACCAAAAATTATTTCTGTGTATTTGATCACCTCAGAACAAAGCCCCCAGAAACCAAGTAAACTATGCTTAAGCGTAGATGATGCCGACCGGTCATGCAGCTGTTCGCGAGCCATGAAGGAAATGCCGCGTGCAGACGATAAGTGTACTGGTTGCCAGAAACCCCCGAGCTAATCTGCTGAAGTATCGGCTTTCTCCCGCCAGAATCTCGATGTGAGAAACAAGTTGGGGTCATCCGTCCGCGAGCTGCATGGACGAGTCGTGGACGGGGGAATCGCTGATGTGAGGTCACGTGACGCGGCGTCCGTTCCGCCATATCCGGATTCGGTCCGTCGTCTGAATGCACCATTAATGGAGTTTTGTGGGGCAAGGGCCATAAGTGGCCAAAGAGCGCCATGTCTTTTATGTGCTGTTGGCGGTAACAAACGTTTTCAATGATAGGGTGTATTATGGCTGTATAGAGGCCTCAAATCACTTGCTCTAAACAAGTATAAAAGCTGTGTATAGATACAGTGGACTCTCATTAAACGAAACTTGGTTAGACGGGAAAGCCGCATAAACAAAACTATCTAGGCACATTTGGTTGGTCTCCTATACATATAGTGATAAAATGTTTTGGGTAATCAAAACATCTTTTTTTAGCTTACATCGATTAAATGGAACTAAAACAGGCAAAAATCCATGAACGGCAATAGTGGCCACGACAGTCTAGCAACTATGAAACAAATGCCAAAGCTAGCCTAGCCAAGCCAATCCAGAAATTGCGCAAGTCCGCGCACGCCTATGGCGCATGCTGAGCAGCAATCGGGGTCTCGTCGTGAACTTGAGGACAGCCTTGAGGAACCTATAGCTTAAGTTCAAGATGAGGACTCGTGCTCACAGGGGAATGAGATGGTGTGTGATCCCAATCTCATTTCAGTGGCTGACAGTGCAGCAATAAATGCTGTCGTCCTGTTGCAGCACTACTGTGAACACGATCGTGGCACAGAGTTCCTGCCCAGCCTTTCAGCAATGCACTCCTACTATGCGAGAAAGTGCTTGAACAAGGCCAAGCAAATTGTTATCACCTCCTTTTTTCCGAATCAGCAATATTAGTATGAGCAATATTAGAGAATGAGATGAATGAGTGAGAGAATGAATCAGCAATATTAGGGAATGAGATGGTGTGTGATCCCAAGCCCATTTCAGTGGCTGACAGTGCAGCAAGAAATGCTGTCATCCTGTTGCAGCACTACTGTGAACACGATGGTGGCACAGAGTTCCTGCCCAGCCTTTCAGCAATGCACTCCTACTATGCGAGAAAGTGCTTGAACAAGGCCAAGCAAATTGTTCTCACCTCCTTTTTTCCAAATCAGCAATATTAGAAACATTTTTCTTTCTTATCAACCATAGTAGTATATAGTCAGCCACAGTTGTTGCTTTTCAAACAAAGTCATATTTCATTCATTTTGTGGGCTTTGCTTAAAGGGGCCCTGCAACACTTTTTGAGCATTGCTTGAAAATGCAACCAATCGGTAGTAGAGGTTCCCGACAACACGCGAGCCAGATATTATAGCGCAGCATGCGGCCTGGAATTCGCAATAAATTATCAGTCAGCTAGAAATAGCTTTCTCTTCTCTCGACAAATCACGAAAAATAAGCCCAGTAAGCCCTTCTATCAGCCACTCGGTAATTTGAACATGGCGCGCTCGGTTGTTACAGAGGTCGCCACAAGAGGCCGTCACTTGTCCACGCGTGCCCGCGCGATCGCACTGAAAAAGCCACAGATTCGAAAAAAAAAAGAAAAAATGCTCAATGCTCAAGGTCATGAGGCTCAAGTGACCTGTTTTGTTTGCCCCTTCCATCCCTCCCTCCCTGCTCAGCTTCCAGAGCTTTCGTCGGGACGAGAGAAGAAAGAATGTGATTGCAAAGTTCACAGCTGCTGCTTGAGTGATCACAGCCTTGATGAAACCACTAATATAACTGTTTCAATGAAACTGAAAGCACGATGTTTCATCCACGTTTTCAGGCACAAGGGCTAAATTTAGGTGCTGCAGTGCAGTATGGTACTGATAAGCAAGAGGTGGTTCGCACAGGATGGCGCAGGCAGACCAGTTTGGCACAAACAGCACAGCTGTTCCACCCCTGCTCGTCAGGCCGGCTTAATCCCATCCAGATGCTACAAGTGCTGTCAACGAGCCACCAACCGCCCAAGAGGGTCACCAGAGCGTTCATTCACCAACCTCGTGGTCCTATTTTATCGACACAGTATTGACCCTTGGAGACAAAGCATGGTCATCATTATACACCAGCAAGTGGTGCAGGATTAGTAGAATTTTGGCCACTGTGTGGAAAGGACAATGTGGAGGTGGCCCCAACCTTCCAATTTAATCTGACACACTGAAGAGCGCTGCGCCTGTTCACGAAGATTGTAAACATGCAAATACTCTGTATTAAGTAATTTCTGTCTTTCTCAACTCGTCCTCATGACTGCTCCAGGCCTGAAACCGAGACGTGTTCACACTGGCCATGCAACCTCATTACAGGGGTGGAACAGGGTAAATGGATTTGGGAGCAGTCCTGGGAGCAAGCAGAGAGATGTTTTGGAGAAGGCCTAGAGCAGCCAGAGGAGCCTTTTCGAGCAAGTTTCGAGCAGTAAAAATATTCAGAGCAGCAATTTTAGCACCGTTCAAAGCACTTGTGAAGCTGCATTTGTTCATTCCTGCATTTTTCAAACACTCAGCTAAATTGTGCAAAACCTCATTACTGCAATAGAAATTACATAGACACACCCGGTGGGTTTTGCCATTGCCATCATGTCCCACAAAAATTCCAAATCGATAACATACTCCCGCACATTGTACGTTCTACTGCGAGTAAAAGCGCGCGAACGGGGGCAACGAAAGCGGCTGGGCAACGAATGCAACTGAAGCAGAGGTCAATCGATCTGGCCCATCTCCGCCGCTCGGAGGCCGCGTGCGATAGCATCCGATACCCCCACCTGGGAGGCCTGTAGTCGAAGCAGAGAGAAAGCACTCTGCCTGTCTTGGAAGAGCATTTTAAAAATCACAGCATATCCACAGGGTGAATGATGATGGATGGGGCCAAGCGTCCGTTCGTCTGGACGCTTTGCCCCCGTTTTGCTAGCCAAGAAAGATCAGATATGGCCTCCAAAACTGTAAGACTGTGCACACTTCCAATCTTGGAGGCCACACAAATAGCCACTGCAAGCCAAACTAGACCAAGCGAACGAAAAATTCAACATAGCAGCTTTCAAAACCAAGTGGCATAGCTCAAAACAAACGATTTAATCGGAGAACTTTGGAGCATGAATTCGTCCGAAAAATTGGTCACAAAAA